TAAATATATTACAATAATTTATTTAAATAAATAATAAGAATAATAATAATTACAATAATTAAAAAAAATAATTATATATTAATTATAAAAAGGAAATCAATAAAGTGGTTGAAGAAAAAATTTTGTAGAACTTCTATATTATCCTTTTTTATCTTATACATATAGCTGCATTTAAAATGTGTATTTTTAAAAAGAAAAAATAATGTTCGCTCACTAGTCTTGAAGAAAAATAAACATCATGAAATTAAACATTAAGACATACCAAGAAGTACATCACATAAACATACTACACTGTTTGACATTTGTAATCTTACAATCGTTAATTATTTCTGAATTGAGAGATACAGTGCCACCCAGTAGTATTTAGATAGAGCTGCGTATCTGCCTCTGTATACACATATATATCCGTATATTAGAGACAGCTCAGTATCTCCTCTTGCTTGTGCGGGGAGTTCTAAAGATGAAATATTTTTTAGTGACATCCACAATTTGTACCAACTGAAAGAGCATTTAGAGAAAATATTTTGTTTAATTTTGACTTTTGCACCAAATGTCAATAAATTTGTCTTTATTTGTACTTTAATACAGATTTCACATATGTAAATATATTCAGATACTCATGGCTTTGTTCATTTTATTCTTAATGTTTGTTTGTGGTATTTTTTATGGATTTCTAAATGCGCATGACTTACGATTTCGGTAATTACTGAAGATTAATGATCAACTAAAATGCTTAGAAGAAGAGTTATGACTAAACAGACTTTTTGAACTGATAAAAAATTTATTGAAAAAAGTTTTAAAATTATTTAGAAAACAATTCAGTAAATTTTAAATAAATTAAACATTTTGTATTCTATAAATTGTAATACTCTGTCAATGATCTATTTGTTCGAAATCATTAAATGAGCTCACAAAATATGGTATACTAACTTTGCATATTTGAATTTTTAATATATTAAGTAAGCTACATAGCCATAGGATTGAAGTTCTATCGAAATATTTAATCTTTTTTTAAAATTACGTTAAAATTTTTTATTATTATTAAATGGATAAGCTATAATCTGTGAATCAGGTGGTTTATTGTGCTAAACCAGAATTAGTAGATAGATTCTGCCTTTGAAAATATTATCTACAATATTTACATTATATATATCGACAAATATGAATATTCTCATATTTGGCTCTAAACAACTACTAAATATACGAAAACCTCGAAAGAATGCTCGAAAGAGGAGAAATTTGCTTCAATCGTCACTGAAACAGTAAATTCTTTTTTAAATCTTGACAAATTTAAAAAGTATAGACATATAAAAAAACATATTAAAGGAAAATTGATTAGTAAATTGACTTGTTGTTGTTGTGATTTGAGCTAGTGCTATTGCGCACTTTTACTCTATTGTGGCTGGGGGGCTTATTCCTGCCCCATTTATTTATTTTCTAACTGATGACGGACCGTAGATCACTTGTATTTTTTAAAATAATATTTTCATTTATCAGACTAAAATCTCTTCATATCCTCAGTTAGATTTACTTCATATCTTATAAATATTGTAACACATTTATCGATGTTTTTTTTTATTAAAACTTAAATGATTAATAACACAAATTTTTCTTTAATTATTTGAACACAGTCATATAAGTCGAGACGGTTGGAACAGAGTCATATGTAATGTGACTATGTCATAAACTGAGTTTCAAACCACGCTTTAGTTTCTTTATTTCTTTTTTAAATTAACTTTTCATGCGACACTAAGTGCAATACCCGTACTATTATATGGTAATATGATCTGCCACCAAAGAAATCATTTGTTCATAAGAGTAAATAACACATTTAAATTGCTTCACAGCACTACAACCTTTAAGTAAATGTAATTGGTGTTATCAATTACTAGTAAGATATTATTATACTTGGTTACAGCTCAAGTATGAGTAGTAACATAACGCAAAGGAAATATACCTAGTACTGTTTAATAATTAAGAAAACGTGATTTAAATATTGACATAATTTTCAAGTTGTTATCTAGAAGTTACTCATAACTAACGTGTACACGTTAGTGTTACATTATTTGGCCTATTACTATTGTACTCAACTGTAGGGTATTTTATTAATCAATATTACGGCACACATTTCCATTAGTGATTCAATTTCGCCGCTATTATTACTACTCACGCTTATCCAATAAGTACCGAGATGTACTTTTACATTTGCACGTACAAGTACTTCTTTTTAGAACTTTTCTGCTTTCCTCAATAAACTAAAACCACTCACTCACAAAGAGTTCAGAAGTAGTAGCAAGTGCAAGTGTTTAACGGCAAATATTTATTAGTATTCCACAAAACAATCATCACAATTATGACCCATAGACGAAGTCAATAACAATTCTGAAGATTAAGCAGCTTTGTGCACGTTTGTTTAAATATTGAAAAAAAAAAAAATTTTATGAATGAAAATGAGGCCGATATACTGAGTCAACATCTGTAGCGGATAGATCTTTGGCTGAGAATTTTTTTTGTTTCTCTAACAGAAAGCACAATTTACACTACACGAAACAAATTTTTTAAAATCTTTTTTTGTAGAATTTATGGTAATTTATGATGCAATTTGGTTTTTTTTGAAGTGCACAGATTATCGATTTAGTGAATTGGTTATTAAGTAAAAAATAAGTAAAATTTATAAACGAAGCATTAGAGATTAACTATTTAATGCAAGATTAAATAAATTCTTGTTTTTAACACACATCAATAATATACTACATATAAAACATTAGAAGAACTTCGCCAACGAAGACAACAGCGATAAATACAATATTTCCATATGAAAGGTGAAAATACTGGTATCTATATGCCAAGTAGCGTAACGTAACATACATAAATAATAATATACTACATACAAAACATTAGAAGGATTTCGCCGACGAAGACAATAGCGATAAATACAATATTTTCATATGAAAGGTGGAAATACTGGTATCTATATGCCAAGTAACGTGTAGAATTCGAATGAACCACAGTTATCCCCCCTAAAACCCTCTATAACACGGAAAATTAGTTCCGCGTTATAGGAAAACGCGTTATAGGAAAACGCGTTATAGGGGTATTTGCGTATACCCTGTATACGAACGTGAAAAGGTACGCGAAGCTAGTAATGAACTATACAAATCTCCGCGTTATATGAGGGAATAATGCCCGTGTTATACGGAGGATTGAAATCGCGTAATATGAAAACGCGTTATAAGAGTACCGTATTATAGGGGAGAGCAGGGGGAATACTGTATATTGGTGACATCCAATGTTGCAAACTAATCACATAATAAGATCGTCACAGTGCTCACATGTGTGCGAAAAGCATTTATTTTTCTAAAAAATTATACGAATTGCAAAAATAACTAAGATCAACTACTAGTAACCGATATTTTAGTCTAACACTAGAAATGCCATTGGGATATAATATTATATAACTGATGTAGCTATTTCTGTTTGATAAAAACTGAATTTTTTTAACTAAACTGTACAGAATATAAACTGTAACATCAAAGCAAGCAAGACCACGGCACGAGTATCTGCCGAATCCAGTAAAAATGCCGGTAAAAAGGTTTAATAACATAGTGTGTCGAGTGTACAAGGCGCAATCACTTGACCAAGCACCAGCCACCACAACAAATAAACAAACATCACAACTAATCAACAAACTTACTATTGTTAACAGCAATGCTATACCCCATGTAACTCCTTCTAACCGAACAGCAAACAATAGCTAAAGGCTGGAAAAGGAAATGGTGTACATCTGAATCATCTGAAAAACCAATAATTAAGAATAACAGACTTGTTATTATAACAGTAGTTATAAATAATACAAAACGTACAGAGAAAGGCTTTGGACCACATAACTCAAGTAAATCCTTTAAAAGTTCGGTTCATTACTCAATGATATATACCAACCACGAGGAAATCGTTGAGTTAGATTGCGAGTGACGGTTATTGAAGAAAGTTATGGGTCAGATCATATCTATAAATCGTAAGGAGTTTTACATCACTTAGGCATCAGTACTAGATGTTACAATACATGATGATTTATGAGACTCATGGAGTGCATCAGAGTTAAGCACGCCACTTACCGACGAACACTCAACGACACGTAATATCTGGTCCGAATAAACAGACAAGGCCAAGTAGTTGTACAATGTCTTCATTAGCGGAAAGAAGAAGGAGATGTAAGAGTGAAATTTACCGCAATAAATTATAACGCCACATAATTTATATATAGTCACATATAAGTACTCGGAAATTAAAGATGGGATTAATATTTTATGTAGAAAATTCTTATATCATAAACTCATACAATAACATACAACATAAAAATCGTATAGAATCATCTTATGTAATAAATTTTTTTAGATGATCTAATGAAAATTCAGAAACTATTAATACAGCGTAGACTTATGTTGCATATTAGGTAATTTCAAGTAATGTTTAATCAATAGGAATTATTTCTTTTATGAACATAAAATTTAACTGCAACATTATGATTTTAAAATTTTAGTGATTGAATTCTCAACTGACTTCCTTAGAAACTAAATGTATGTTTCTCTCTTTGTTTTCATTCGTAAATTATTTAAATTTTTCTTGCAATTCAAATAAAACTTATAATTCTTACTCTATGTTTTAAAAATAACAAAACAGAAATTGTTACGACTTCGGAAACATTTTCCAAGTACGTGGCTTTTGGTATGTTTCCCACAGAAAGTGCCTGCTTTCTTACGATAATTAGAAGTATGCATGCATTGCGATTCTAGGAACTAAATTGCAACAATTTACAATCTATTAATGAACTGCTACAACAAGGCAAATTTCAATTTTCTAATGAACAAGAATATTAAAAGCAGTTTAGGAACAACGCACTTACAAACTCAACGGAAAAATTTTAGTATTGATTTTTATGTTTCTCAAGAATTAATCATACAATTCGGTTTCATCATTATTATTTTTTTATTTCCTTACAGAAAATCACCTACCACAATATGGCGAAGTAAATCAATTAGGCGGTGTCTTTGTAAATGGTAGACCTTTACCGAACGCAACACGTATGCGCATAGTGGAGTTGGCGCGTTTAGGCATAAGACCCTGTGATATATCGCGACAGCTACGTGTCAGTCATGGTTGTGTTTCGAAAATACTTGCACGTTATCACGAAACTGGTTCCATATTACCTGGCGCCATAGGCGGTTCAAAGCCACGGGTGACCACACCTAAAGTAGTCAGTTACATACGAGAATTAAAGCAACGAGATCCAGGCATATTTGCTTGGGAAATACGCGATCGTCTGCTGTCAGAAGGTGTTTGCGATAAAACGAATGTGCCTAGCGTCAGTTCAATATCGCGTATACTACGCAATAAGCTTGGCGCTATGGGACATCATCACAATGCAAGCATAACAGGCAGTACAAATACTTCACCGCATCATCCTCATGCACACCATCATCATCATCATCACTCAGCGCCCCCCTCACATGCCGTTTCAGCTGTAGCTGCAGCAGCACATCACACAGCCGCTCATGCGCATCCACATTTATATAACTCCATCTATCAACCGTACAGTACATACGGTATGAAAACCGCTGTTTCATGTGGAAGTCCATCACCGCCTCAAGGTGGAGCCCAGGCACATCAATTGCACAGTGTTGCAGCTGCTGCAGCCGCGGCGCATTGTTGGCCATCATCGCATTCAGTTACTGATATATTGGCACATCATCAGGCGGTTGCGTTACGCGCCAGTTGTCAAGTAGGCAACGCCATATCACCATTGACGCCAGCAATTCCAATGACACCGTCTCCAGTTGGTAGTGTGGCCGGCACAGGAAGTACGCAGCAAGCACTCGATAATGAAAATATCAGCACTAATGCAACACATCAGCATCAGGTAGTACAGCAACCCTATAATTATTATATGTATTTTCAAAATGGCGGCATGCACCATCATCACGGTGGTATGATGGCTGCAGGCGCAACGAGCTTATGAAGTTTGTTTTTGTTAATCAAATTTTTTTTTGTTTATGGTTTTAACTTTATATTTAAATAACGGAAAGGCGTACAATAGAGATAAGTTTAAATACTCAATACCGTGTAACTTCATTTTGCCATAAGATAAAATGTAAAGGAATTTCATTAAATTAAGTTTTATTATAAGAAATTGTATTTTTAAGATATAAAAATGGATAAAAATTTAATTTTGAATTTGTATATAGTAATGAACAGAAAGAATTTATCAATACTCTTAAGTAAACAAAAATCTTGTCAAAAAAGAAAATAATAATTTGTAGTTATAAATTTGCAATAATAATTAAGTATAAAATAAATTGTAATGAAAATTTTAATTTTAATTTTACATTATTTAAATCAATTTTATAATGTTATGTAAAAAAGTGGAAACCACAAAAAGATACATATCATATTTCAGATACATATCATATAAATTATTAGTAATTTAATTAAGCTTACTTTGGGATAACATGTATTATAGTTAACGAGTAAAGAGTTTTAGTTGTTTTGAAAATTGAATTTAAAAAAATGTTATAATTTATAACATAATATTAATTTTTGTTTAAATATATTGTTAACACAATAGTTTAAAATTTTGAATTTAATACTCAAGAAATATATAAAATTTTTCAAGAGAAATTTAAATATTTACAAAATCAATAATTACAGTGCAGGTACAAGAGTTACTTCAGAAAATTATGAACTATACTTCTAAAAAAAAATATATATACATCTAAATCACTCTCATCCTTATCTATAAATAAAATTGGAGTAATAGTTGAAACTCTATTATCACTTATAAGAAATTAAAAGATTTTTTTTTATTAATTATTAATATTACCACTGTGCAGTGGCTGTGTAAGACAAGTGAGTACTTTTTAATATGAGTCGAAACATGCAAAAGATCTGAATTCGATAAATTTAACATTTTCCACATCTCCAACACTTTGGTTTCAGCTAAAACCTCTTATTAACCCATATCCGCCCAACGTTCGATTAATCAAACAGCAAATCTTATCACTTTTTATGGATTTTTTGTTTATAGTAAAAAAACTTTAGAGTTTATATATATCATTACTTTGAATGTATGAAACTTTAGCTTTACAAATATATTTGTGACTTCACTCCACACACACCCCATCTCCTTAATAATTAAACTTTAAAAAAAAACATTTTGACCAAAAATTCCAAAAAAAAAAATACTTGGGCGGATATGGGTTAAGAAACCCTTTTAACCAATAGTTAATAATTTAAATAATTTCTCCATCGAGCATTTTACATATTTTTTTATTAGCTATATATTTTAGAAGTTTCTAATTATAAGAGCCTTAAAAAAAATTGTTCATATCATTTAATTAACTCCATTGTTTCACAGTTTCTAATTATTTTTTTTTATTTTCACTTTATAAAGTTAGTAATATATTTTGTTATCAAAATGCTGTTTATATTATATTTTTGTGGTTGGCATTATAAAATTAATCAGAAATCAGAAACCAGATGCAGCGTATATGGAGAGATGAGTAGAATCTTGCCTCTAACACAATAACATTAGAGCAATTAATATTAGAGAAATTAATGCTAGATGTAGTAGTAGTCGTATAAAAAATTGATTTTGTGAATTAACAAACTAATGCTAAAAAAAGTGACTACATAACAATATGGACACGAGAAATATATTGGTTGAAGTAGAGTCTTGCAAATTAAAGAAAAAATAGAAAATATTACATATAATAAAAAATGTGCTCGCACTACAGATGTAACAGGTGTAGTTCATCCAGAAAAACATTTAAGGTACTGATATATTGTTGTTTTTCTCTACTGAAATGTATCATAACTAAGAGCGGGTATTGGTATGATCCGGAACCACATCTCATAAATGATTAAATATCTGTCACAATTACCGTCGGAGTTTCAGCATTTGCAGAAAATATGAACACTGTGGAGTTTCTTTGAAATAATTCAATTAAAAGAATTTTAATGTATTTTTCAATAATTTATTATTAAGAAAAAAAACAATTCTTTCTATGCTCTTATTTTTTTTCTGTTTCATTTAAAATGACTTCTTTTACCATTATTCGGCCATATAAACTCAACATTTATAAATTTGAAATCTTATTAGACTTTCGCTCACTTTACAACAGGAAGATAAATGCGTTCCAATAAATTTAACACAAAAAAAAATCTATATTAGTTTAAAATCCTTAGCTTTCTCTTGAGTTTCAACTAGTCCGTAACTATTCAATATGCAGTAAAAAACCTCACTAACCAATTTTTACATTAAATAATTTTACCCAGTATCTAATTGCCAAATTTGTGACCATTTAATTTTTAATGTAAAAATTATACATAAAAAAATAAATATTTGAAACTATTAAAAATTAAATAATATATATTAATATTTTTCATAAATTACTTTAAACCATGTTTATATATTTTATTTAGTTTGATTGTGTTAACATAATTACCACTAAAATTTAATATTGTATTCAAATTGATTAAATTTTTTTCTTTTTATCCCAGTCTTTGAATATATATTTCGTATATCATGTATATAAAGCAAATAGTATTAAAATTATTATAGTTATTACAAGAAGTATTTCTCTTATATAGTAAAAACAAAAAATTAATTGTATTTTTAAAAATAATTTTTTTTTATGAATAAAAAATTTTCAAAATATGTTAATAAAAAAATATTTCTTTCAATATTTAATTTTAAACGGTTTGTATATATTTATTTATAAAATATTTGTTATTAAATAAATAATATCATTTCTTATCATTTTTATTAAATTAAGTTTTTACTTACTACTACTTAATAAAAAAAAAATTAAAATTTTAAGGATATAAAATTAAATTTAAAACAATAAAAAATAAGAAACATATTAAAAAACAAATTTTTAATTAATTACTCTTACAATTTGTTTTTTAAAAATATATAAAATTAAACAAAAATATATAAATTTTTCACTTAATATCAGCAACATTCTGTTTCTTTCATATCCTGCTTAATCCACCCAAAAAAAAAATATCCTAAACCTGAACCTAAAATAATAGCCAAAGAAATCCAATAATTGTAGCTCATAAATACTAACATTAGTAAATAGGATATTATAATTTGTATTAAATTAATTAAGGTCTGTATAATATGTGGAGCAGCTAATAGACGTTCCAGATATGTCTGTGTTCGAATTTCTTTTGGTTTCGAGTGACACCTGTTCGATTTCATTTCCATTTCCAGTGTCATACGTTTCACTTCCTTTCTCACTGTTAATCTTAGTAAATATTCACGTAAACATTTAAGTAATTCATACAAAAATGCAACAGAAAATATAACTAATATTGCAAATAAAAACTCTGGAATACTACTGGCGATCCAATCTTTCCATAGAATTCTTTCACAATGCCCGCCGTGAAACTAACAAATAAATTTAACATTAATTATAATTGTTTTATTAAATAATTAAATAAATTGTAAATGAAAGATTTCGATAATAACACTTACCACCATTGAAGATGGACAAGATTTTTCCTCGTTAACGTCAATATTTTCCTGTGCATGATTATGATCCATTTTTGAACTAAAAAATATTTCAAAAAATAAATAGTTATAGTTTACGAAAATAAAATTTAGTTTATTAAAAGTTAAATAGTGTTATTAATTTTATATGATTCAAGGACAAAGTTTTCTTTAAATAAAATATTTGAAATATATTTTGAAAAATATATAAATCTTTCTACATTATAAAAACAAACTTAATAATTTGTTAAAATTTTATAATTTGATATACAATACTTTTTTAATATTTTTAAATATTTTTTGTTTAATGTTAGAATATTAACATATTTTTATTCGTCTTTTGGAGGAGTATTCCTTCCCCTTGCTTGATGAAACGCAAAGCAGCGCAACAACTGAGAAATTTATTATGTTGATGCTGCATTGAGAGGTAAGTCATTATATACATATTTCCTACTGGGTATCAATTGCGAATATGCATACATTTAAGATTTATATTCGTTTAAGTTTTTTTATAAATTTTTGCATATTTCTAAATTACAGATTAATCGAATTATTAATTTATAATTTAAATAATTATAAATATTAAACCATTTATAAATATATTACCAAATTTTATTAATATGTTTTCGAACGGACTTATTGGTTAATTGTTTAAATAATACACAATTTTTTTTAAATATATTAAAAAATATATTTTATTGTCACCAATATTTCGATTATAGTCTGTAGTTATCTTTAGGGTACCTTTATTTTATTTTATTTTATTTTATTTTATTTTATTTTATTTTATTTTTTACTGATAACAAACATTTGTTTAAAATATATAATCAATGTATTTAAATAATTAATTTAATTAATTATCATCTTTTGGAATCGATATTTCATTTTTAAAAATAAAACTTTTGTTTAAACATAAAATAAATGGGATAACCTCTTAAAATCATCAGAACCTCTTAAAATTAAGGTAGCTTAATTGTCAATTGACTTTATTTTGAACATCAAAGATATAAAGTATATATGTTATGTGGCATATATATAATAAGATTATATATAATAAGAAGCAATTCGAAAATTTTCAAAAACCATAGAAATCTGGAGTATAGTCTGGAGTATACTCATACTTTCAATTACAGATGAAAGTAATGCGTTTGAATGATAACTTAACGTGTGGCAAATATTTTATATCTTAAAAAAATGAAGTCAATAAGGTATGACATCATTCATAGAATTAATAGACTAGCATTCTAACTGTGGGATTAAATTAATTTGATGAAAGTATGCAGTAGAATAGATTGAATTATATTTTCTATCCAATTCTCATCATGTCCCTGTTACTACCGAACTTCTGAATATTTTGAAGACTGTGAACTTGGATTACCGTCATTATATTAGTTGGTTTGAGGAAGTTATAATATTAAAACAATACAAAAAGGTTTTTTGTGAAGAATAACATAATATATGAAAAACTAAATGAAATAGTATTACAAAAACTTAAACTATATATAATATATAATTACTTAACATCGATTATGGTGCAATTTTTAAGGAAGACAACAGTTAAAAAAAAAACTTTAGAAAAATATAGAGTATAGAAAGTGATTAAAATTTATGTTTTAAAGAGTGGGGTATCACATTTTTTGGTTCAGGTTGCCTTTGAACCTTATAACGTCATTGCTGATAGACCGGCCGTATTTCGTTAAACCATTTTAACTGATTAAAACAAATGTATAGCTAATTGAATGTTTTAAAGAAGTACTAATTATATATAACTGAAATGTTATATATTTCAAGTTTCTGTATAGATATATCAATGTTGATTCAAATTTATTTATTTCCATATATGTATGTATATATGTTTAATGACATGTTGAACATTATTTCCCTAATGTAAATCGTCGATGAATACCGGATATAATCTATATAGAGAAAAACGCGTACATTTTAAGTAAATGGTCATATAAATGGTCAAATGTATCGATATATATGCATTCGAATATATAAAGTACATTCACTATATGTTTATTGTACTATATACAATCTTTAATTCAATGGTTTTACTATATATCTTGACTTTTGTTATATATTTATTTTTGATGTATCTTTGTGCATAATATAATAATATTATTATATGGTATCGCAAACTTTTAGAAAAATGTTTGATTTTATAAAATTTTGATTATAAGTAAGTATGTATGATATTTTAAAATAAATTTTAAAAGAATTTATATAATTTCTAGTATTTTTCTCTTAGTTCAATGGTCTTAGACCGCACAATCTCAATTATCACTTATGATTCACTGAATTCTGATTGCAGTAATGCATTTAAATTAATATTTAATGAATTATAAATATAAATATAATGGTATTTATAAATAAATATAAAATATTTATTAATAAAAGTTTATTTAAATTTTTTCGAGTTGTTTAACAAATCACACATTTTGTTATTATTTTCCATTCTCTCACCACTGTTTATGAAGCGTAAATAGCACTTCTCACTGTAAGCAATTTTTCTACTAAAATATCGTCAACAAACGTGTTGGTGTCTTACTCCACTGAAACGACTTGCAGTTAATTAAATCCCATACAAAAGATAAGAATTGTTTACGATTGTGGGATTTAAAAAGAATTATTTTCACCGTTGAAGTATCTGATACGTAGAGTGACATTTTTATACGTAAATGTAAAATGAGTGAAGTCAAAATAATTACAATTTTTCACTTTAAGAACACAAACGACACGATCTCTTTTAAAATTCAATGTGAAAGCAAAGTTATTATTATTTATAAAAAAAATTAATTTAATAATATTATTGAAAAATATTTTTTTAAGTTTATATCTCCACATTTCTGTTCACTTGATCACAGACAATAAGTAATTATTATTAAAATTAAATTAAAATTTCTTTCCATGAAATGAATATTCCAAAAATCCAATGTAAACACCAACACATAGGTTTTATAATTGATATCATAAAATATACTCAATATTCCATATCACCAATATAGAGACTTACGTTTTAAACCGATGAATTGGTTTCGTAACTAAAAACTAGAAGGATTCACATAAGCTCTTTATGAAACTTTTTTATGTTCCTGAAATTCCATCAAGTATATTTCTTCAACACTCTTTATTATTTAAACTAAAATTTACTGACGACCTTATATCTCTACTTTCCATACTGTATGTTAAAATTACTATGTGCGGGATATGAGCAATTTAATTTATATGCTGAGATTGCTAGTCAAAGGGCAACATGCTATTGTTGAAAACTATATATACAAATACTCTGTGTATATTCTATACGTTTAATAAAAATATTATTAAACGAAAATATTATATCTCAGAGAGTGTAGCGCATAAGTAGCACAAGTAATTGAGTTTTATCTTATCAGTAGTTATTGAGACATGACATCAAACATATAAGAGACAAGAAATGAACAAAATAAACAAGTATAAGATTTATGTTTACTAATAAACTCACCTGCAATTGTTATTAAAAAATTACCAACTGTACGCTTTCATATATTAACAAATTAATTCTTATATTTCCTAAATTAAATAATTTCTTTAAACATTTTTTATAAATTCATGAAAATAAATAAATTTATTCACTAAAAATGCCTAACACCGAGCAATAAAGCGCTAGCTTTTATTACTTTTATAAGTAATAACGATACTACCGAAGTAGTCACTTCAATCACGAAAATAGTTTAATTTGATAAGATATTTTTCTCATAAGAAAATTCAAGCTTTTTTGCACTCAACAAAGCATTTAATTAAATTAAAATGTGTACAATAAGATGTTGTTTATTACTGTTTATTACAAACCTAAAATTATGCTTTTTAATTATGAGAAAGAAAATAAGTTTATTAAAAATTTAACTAAACCATTCTTTAGCACCTTTACCGAAATCTTAATCTGTCAAACAATCTTAAAAGGGAAAATGTGATATAAATTAATACAATTAAAACAACAAATAAAATAAATTTACTTAACTGTAATTGTATAAATAAATTGTTGATATATATAACAAAATCTTCAAAGAAATACATTATAATTTAGTTAGTAGCAACCAGACTTAACGCTATCCAGAATCGCTGGTCCAGAACTAAAAATGAGGACGCAAGTATATTTAATCAGAATTTGCCATCTTCATAGTCGAACTTCATTCAGGCGTTTGGCTCTGTCATAGCAAGCAGAGACAACTGAACTTTAAATATAGTGTTCCTTATTAAGACGGTTAAAATTTAAACTGAGGGCTTTAAATTAAACGACAGAGTTAGCAGTAAAAACTTTTTTAGAAAATTTGGTCTTACCATCTTACTAAAACTACCTGATCATTATAGTGTTTTTCAGCAGAAGTTAAAACAATTTATTGTGCAACAGCGTAGGTACTAAATACGGTTTCTAGAATTAATGTCGCCATCGTCTTGTGATCAAATAAGAACTTTAATTTTTAATTTTTGAATTCCCGTGCTTAACAAATCGGTAAATTTTATTTTCACGCTGGCAACACTATTATACACATTCTGTCAAAGTTTAACGTATATTGTACGATTAGTTTTTGTTTGGAGTCTATACAAAGAAGTCGAAAAATTTTCGTGTGGCGATTTTTACCTAATGACCTCTATGGTCTCAAAATGCGCAATGGCAAGGAACAGGAAGTCGGGGGTATAGGAAAAATGTCACACGGGGCCATATCTGAAGAGTACGGTGCTTGGTTGATGATATTGGTGGGGTTTTTGGCCAAAAACTGCGGCTTTTTTTTAATGAAATTAAACTTTTTTGCCACCAGCCGAGAAGCGACGCGTTTCAAACCCAAAACATCAGTTTAAATGTGTTCGGCCGATCCATATGAAATGCCCAACAACACTGCAATATCTCTAATCGGTTCACAACGATTTTCCAACACGATCTGCTTCGCCGATTCAATGTTTTCTTCAGTAACAGAAGTTGTTGGGCAGCCAGGGATCTCATCATGGTCCAAGCTTGTACAACCGTCTTTGAACCTTTTAAATTATTCGTATACTCGTGGTTGCGACACACACTTGAATTTAAAAATAGGCTGTATTTAATGAAATTGGTTTAAAAACGCGCTTTTTTTAATAAGTTGTCTAGGCTTGTCAGTGTCCAACTCATAGTGATATCTGGACGTGCTGCTCTCCAAAATTTACTCTGCGTTAAACTGACAATTAATCATAAATACCAAGGATTGACGAGAAAACCTTGCTATATCTACTTATTTGGGAGATAAAGATTCTTGTCAGATGACAAAAGTCACCTGTTCCGAATTGGACAAAATTTGTACCCAGTTATGTCTTTCAACTAAAGCGGTTTCAACTCAATAATATAGTATCGGTACTGCCAGGACATTGGTATAAGACGTGGTCTACTCTCTCTCGACTTTTGTCGGGGATGTGGTTTTTTGGTTCACGAGTAAATTGTACTTCAAATCATGTGTCAGTGTCCATCATTGGAGAGAAGAAAATTCAAAATAATAAGCCCTCTTTTTTAACTGACCTGAAAATCAGTAGATGTTCTTGAATGGGAGAGTCAGGCTTTTTCAGAGAACAGCTGTTTGTAATGGCTGCGATATAAATTTCAGTTATTTCAATATATAGTATTATTGTATTATCCATAAATATATTACAGTTCTTCATAAAATTTTTTTTGAAATAAAAAAAAATTTTTGCGTATATAAATGTTAAGTATCTTTATTGATTTTACTATATAAAATATAAATATATAAATATATAATATACAAATGAATTTTTGAATTTTAACACATTTTTAAATTTTATTGTTAAAAAGTGAAAATAAATTTTACCTTCTAACGTTAAAACTTAGGACGGAGTTAGGGTTTATTTATTGAAGATAATTAATTAAATAATTTATGAAAAAAAAATTAATAACTGTTATCTTATTTTTTTTTCTAATTACTATAAAATAAATTTTGATATTTTTACTATTGCATATGTAATAGTTACAGATAATTAGTATTATTCTTAATTAATGAAATACAATTTTACTTTTTTATTTCAATGACAGCAATCCTTTTCAACGCCTTTTTTGATCCAACCAAAGAAGAAGTAACCACATGTTAAACCCAAAAAGACTGACAAGCATAACCAATAATTGTAGTTCATGAAAACCAACATTATCAGATATGATATAATGACTTGAAAGAAGTTTAGAACAGTCTGTAACAGATGTGCCGGATCTGTTATTATTTGCCAATAATTTTTCCTTCTTATTTCTGCTAATGGTGTACAAGAACCACTGTTATGTTCTGAAGACATAGGTTGCGACGCAGCTTTTGCAGCTTTGATGAGTAAATATTCACGGTAAAATTTAAGAGCCTCATATATGAAACAAATTGCAAACCAGGCCAGACATGAGAATGTAAACTCAGTAACAGTGTATGCAACCCAACTAGTCCACAAAATACGTTCACAGTGTCCACCATGGAACTGAAAAAAAATTCAAAAGTTATTTTCTGCTTGTTTATTAAGATTTATTTATAAATATTTAAAATTTAGCTGAATCATAATTTATTGTTCAAATCGAAAAAAATTGAACTATTGTACATTTCTGTAACTTACAAACATCCAAGTCCTCTTATTTATCCATTTGCTATCGTTCTTTTATAAGTACGAAGGAAATAAGCCGTCTTTCGATAAGGTCAAGATCACTAACATACAAACAAGACTCAAATCTTAAAATCACTCTATGCTTCTATCTAAAAATTTATATGAATTTCCAAGTAACAGATTTAAACAGAAGAGCGGCACCCAGAGTAGACTGTCGCCCATATTCTTGTTGGCTGCGCAATGTCAGGTAGTAAAAGCACGGGCTTTACTACCTGTCATGTCATGACTCCTAATGGGACATTGGTGAAGTTAAAACCACTCACAATGTTAACATAATCCATATATAATTATTTTTGTCAAGCTTTTATAATACGCTGGAATGCGCGTTTTTTTTTAAGTTGTGACCAGTTACTAGACTACCACGTTTTATATTTTATTGTCGAACAGATATCCTAGTTAAAAACGATGAATGATTTTGTGCTTATTTATTTTTTTACGATTGTCATATTCGCGTTCGATTAATAATTAAATATCATGTCTCCAAGCTCTCAGAGTAGTAGTCCTTTTTAATTTAATCTTTCTACTAAGGTATAATTACACATTCGTAAAGGCATTTTTCTATTTAAGTTCTTTTACTTAAAATGTCAATCCGGTTGTTTAGAATTCAGAATTATTTAAATTTAATCAAAGCATTTAAAGCTCTTTATATACTTTTCTTTTTATTAAAAAATAAATTATTCATGAAAAATATATATGATGTATATCATCTAATACAATTCTATACTATATATAAATATAGAAAGCGTGAATATCATAAATACATTTATATAAATAACTATTTCATAATATTTGATGGTTTCATTATTTTAAAGAATATTATTTTATTACAAAATAGTTTATGCCTGTGAATATTATTATTTAAGTTTTTCATATATATGGCAATAAATATGGGACG